AATGAATTCTGTCATGTACCTGTTTTACCATACCAAAGGATACAACTTTATGATTAAATCACTGGTATTCGAATGCTTTGATTATTAATTATACAATTTTATTGCTGTCAGAAGTACATTTAAGCGGGCTGGTGAATTCAGGAGCGCGGGTGGAAGAAGGGCGGAGGGAGAAGGGGACTGGTCCAGAACAGACATGCAAGCTGCATGGCATGATTGTTACACTTCAGGAAAAAGAGTCAGAGATTTTATTAGCATGCAGACACTGAAAAATAGCTTGAAAAATCTCGAGATTCACTGAAGAAGACAACCCCATGGATTTTTAAGGAAAATAAACTTGCATTCATTTTGACGCGTTTGGAATTTTCCCCGTTTTGATGCTTAAACAATGTTTCAGAAATCTAAACTTTTAGGTTTTGTCTAAAGTGGAGGTCACAGGCAAACATGTCAATGTGTCAACTACCATAACTTCTACTCTTTAAATTACCAGGGACTCTGAAATTAATCCCGTTGCCCCAATTCCTTGTGCAGAAGATACAAACGCATCAAGCTCCCTATCGGCAGAGAGATGACGACTAATAACTTAACTATTTTAATTCAGTTATTCTAAGTTTCTAAACCTACCAGTGGGTGAGGGATAAAATCTCTCACAAGAGAGACTAAAATTATGCTCCCGTCATTACTTTTCTACAAAGCTTCACAGCATAATGAAGACGTTAATATTTTCAGTGTTTTTATTCTCACAACAACCCCACAGGCAAACAGGGCAGGAATGATGGTCCCCCCATTACTAAGTGGTTTGCTTAAACCCAGATACATTAAAATGATTTGCTCGCAATCAAACAGCTAACTAAGTGCCATCCTGGAACCAGAACTTAGGCTTTCTGATATCACAAAACGTACACCAAATGCAAGACGCCAAGGTATGGTTCAATTTCCAGGTAAACTAAAACTTCACGCCTCTAACAGATGGTCGTGGGCAAGAGGATTTGACCCATCTCAAATCTACCTGGCAAAAAGGCGTCAAAACTCCAATTTCAGTTGCTTTGGAACTCCTGACTTTGCCTACATGGGAAACAGTTATTTTGCTATCTGACTTTCAGAAAATATTTCAAAGCCTAGAAAAGAAGAAGAAAAGCAACCACGCTTGAGGCATTAGAAGACAGTGGAGTCCAAGCTTTTCAGAGCACAGAGAATCAGCGCCGGGTGGCGACTCCTGCCGCCCGCCTCACATGCTCGGGGCTGCAGGCTGGGCACCCCTGGGCTAGTCTTCAGCACATTTGCAAGGAGGGACATAGCCGCAGGAAGCCGTGCAGGTGGGGGGAGCAGACCACCTGGGAAAACGCACGCTCACCCCTTGAAGGTAAACTTGTGGCTTGCTGATCCGGGGGCTGGAACAGAGACTGTTCACTGCCTCGGTGAAGAGGAGGTGGGGAGAAGTGTTCGTCTTCACACCAGGAAGAAGGTAATAAGAGTCAGCTTTGAACTGATGTCATTTTTAGCCCTAAAAATCTTTACAAGTATATATTAAACAATTACGTGACGCTGGCAGAGTTTAAAAAGAACGTTTCAGATAAAACAATAGTTCCCATTTCTTCTGGGTTTTCTTTTTCTTTAATTGTTATGCTCTTAAAAATGTATCACTGCCATCTTGCTTCCCCGGGACAATGCACACATTATAAATTAATAATTCATCATTCTCAGACCGTTTTTTAAAAAACGCCAAAAAAGGTCATTTTAAAAAGCGTGATTTAGTCATTGACAGAAGGAAAACAAAAAACAGATTATGCAAATATTGATTATAATCAATCTGTCTCTTTTTAGGGCTATTGAAGTCTTATACGACCAACTTATGATTTTTTCCCTATACTATGTTGTACAATTGTAGTTT